TGGAATCATAGAATCAGCTGTTTCCTTATTGTCAACAAGTGTATTTAGTGTTCTGAAGTTTAACCTCAAACTAAATTGAAACTTATAAAGTGTATTGCATATTTTAATCAAATAAAAGCTATTTAAGGAAAAACATTTTAGTCTTTTGAAATATAACATCTAAAAATTGTGAAATTTCTCGGTTGAAGTATAAAATGACAGGTTTGATTATGAGAGAATCTTTCGACATGTTCGAGCCATTTTGAATCCAATTTTTTGGTCATAAGTAGATCTCGATAAAAAACTTGTTCGTTTGATCTTCTGCGAAATGCTGCATTCTTTGTTAAATATTAAAAAAAAATCAAACTGTATTAATATATACTTATGATTTATAGATAAAGTCAAAAAGATTCTAATAGTTTCTTACATCTTTATCTTTTTGTTGGAAGTCGTTTCTTATTTGTTTAGATTATGCCCTAATGGATCATTGTAGATTTTATGAGATGGATTTGATAAAAGTCGAATCCATTGATTAAGAAAATATTTTTGTAATTGATACAGTAGTGGAGCTTTATGTTGAAATACTTAGGGCATACCAAAAGTAGTGGCGCCAATATCTCAATTTCTTATAGGCCGCATGAGAAAATTTTCTTTTTTTTATGAACAGATAGAGCGTCTTTCGCTCTATTTTTCTATGCTATTCGATCACTATTCAATTAGTATCATAATAATAAAATTTCGATAAGAACTATTTTTGTCTACAACTTAACTAATATGTGAGGCAGATTATATGGCCACATTGTGCATTTTTTGGATTTTAATTTTCAATCACTTGATAGGTTTTATTAAAAAAGAAGATATACAAGCACTAGATGCAGCGTGAAAAGCTCTACAATTTTTCAAGAACAGCGTATTTTATATTTCAGATAAAGAACAAGAAATTTTTCTTCATATAGAAAAAGATGATTTTTTTTCGGGATAGTTGGAGACAATTTTACTTTTTTTGGAAACAAGAAGTACGCAATTCAAATAAGAGGTCTTATAAAAATTGTAGCCCTTGTCACGCTGCATCTTTTGATGTATTTTGTTTTTTCTTAATAAAAGATACCAGGTGATACAACGATGAAATAAGAAAAAATCAATTGATCTTGTAGCAGAAAATATATCGTTTTTGCAAGGTCGAAAATTGATCGCTCAAAATCTTGTTCATTATAATAACAAAAGGTGCAACTATAAAATAAGCGATCTTATGTAAATTGTAGAGCTTTTCATGCTGCATCTAGTGCTTGTATATTTTATTTTTCTGATACAACCTATTAAGTGATTGAAAATTGGAATGCAAAGTTTAGCCATTTAGTGGATCTCACATATTGGTGAAGTTGTAGACAAAAATAGTTCTTATCGAAATTTTATTATTATGATACTAATTGAATAGTGATCGAATAGCATAGAAAAATAGAGCGAAAGACGCTCTATCTATTCATAAAAAAAAAGAAAATTTTCTCATGCAGTCTATAAGAAATTGAGATATTGGCGCCACTACTTTTGGTATACCCTAAGTACATTAGACATATTGGTAATTTTCTCCACTAATTCTCACTCTATAGGGTTGAAACTTTCAGGATAAGTCGAGTAATCGATTATGTATTCGTAGCATAAATAATGAGACCTAACAACAATGATAGGGAGAAATAATCGAAAAAGTAATATGTTCCGTTTATTTTGGGCAGCGGGATATATTCATTAATATGGATAGGTTATCGTTTATGACCATATGAATACATAGGTACAAAAAAACCTGTTGAAAAAATTTTTTCGATGCAATACATTCAATTCGAATGAAAACTGTTAATAAGTGAAAATTTAATCCTATAAATTGTGATTTTTTTATAAGAGTGATTGAAAATTTTTTGGATGCATGGCTCGAGATGATTCAGCTGTTTGAGTCGAGTCAACGTCACTCCCCTGTTTAGTCCGAGTCTATAACAAAATGCGACTCAAGTCTAAGCCAAAACTCGGACTAGCCTAGCCGTGATTCATTTAGAATGAAAGATTATTTAGTACAAACAAATGTGAAAATATTTCTCTTAGAGCCAAATTATTTCTTCTCTGAGAACATATTTTATTAGTTCCTACTAAAATAAAAAAGAAAAACGCTATTCTTACTAAAAAAATGATATTATTCATGTTTCAATTATTCTTTAAACTGTAGATAAATAACTGCAAATTATAACAAAAGAATAACCGAATTATTTTTCTTCAAATATAGGATAAATCAAAACATATTGTATTCTCTCGTTCTAATGATTTTATTTTAGCTGATTCAAATATATTTTACTTTCATCAATTACTTTCTTTTATTGAACAAAATTTCTAACAAAAAATCAACATTTACAATAATAAATTAAAATACTCATCAAAACGTTTTGATCGAACAAACGGCTTATCTATATGAAGTCCTTTTAATTTACCACAATAAAGACGTGTTGCATTATTAGTGAAGTTGTTTGTTACCATTGTGAGTGATTCATATTCGATGCAGAGATCCAACAAACAAGGTAAATGAGTGTTCGTATCGACGAGAAATTGTTCAGCATAATCAACATGTGCTTTAACAAGATTGAGAAGATTAAGATGAGGAAAATAAATTAGTGTCGAAGGATATTGCTTCTCTTTTTGTGGTTCAATGTTGTTTATATTCAACTCTTTCAAAAAAGGAAAATCATCAGAAATAACTTTGAAGAATTGATGTTCAAAAGGACTTGTATCAGTCATTGTTAAGCATCGGACTTTAACAAACATGCCACCTTGAAAAGAATTGTTGAGATGAAGAAAATGTTCGAATTGGTATGGAAGTGAATATATATGGGATTTCACTACAGCCTTTACTTCTTTAAAACTGAATCCATCTATTGCCGTTCTTGGTTTAAAATGCACATATGAACCAACTTGTCCATATTCTCTTCCAATGAAACTATGTTGAATGTCTTCATTTGATGGTACATCAATTTTATTATTCTTAATAAGAACACCTGTATTTATACTGAAAACAAATTTTTTTAGGTGCGACATATGAATAAGCACTTGATAATATAATTCAATACCACCAATAACAGTTGAGTCAACCCTTATTACTGATAGAAATAATATTAATTCTTCAAGATTTATCATTCGACGAAGTAATGGAATAATCTGTTCATCATAATCATGTGTATAATTAATTGAAGTCAATGAGAAGCATTTCAACTTAGGAAGTTTTCTCTATAAACAAAATCATTTTATCAATTTAATCTTTTTCCTCAAAACAATCTTTCAAATGTTACCCAGCTGTTTATTTTTGATGGTTTATATTTGATTCGTTTGACATTGATAGTTAGTTTTGATAAGCAATCGAAACTTCCATCAAGAAGGTAAAGACAATCATTAAAAATTGCAACATTTATTTTCAATTCGGTTAAAGTTGAAGATGTACAACTTGTTTTTGATAGTTCATAAATAGAAATTGATGAATTTCGATAAGAAAACAATTGACAATAATTCAAATGAACTAATCGTTTACATAGAAATAAAATCAATACAAATATATATGATGACATTTCAGACAATTCTGATATTTTCTCATTCTGAATATCAATATTTAGGTGTGTGATTTGTTGCGTAAGAAGATCACGAAGAATTGAATAATCTTTAAATAAAAATTCACTTGATTAATAAAAATGAAAAAAACAAAGTATTAAAAATATACCTATTAGATATTGAAAAAGTATTTCTTCTTTAAAATTAACAAGTGACAAAGAGTAAACCTGAGAATAATTGAAAGTAAGAATACGTTCTACTGAATCTTGTTCAATAACAAGTTTTTTAACTTGATCATGAATTTTCGGTAAGATGTTTTCACATATGCTTGAAAGAACTTGTTCATGTACTGAAAAAGTCCGATCATAAAATGAATTCATAGTCATAACTGTAATATCAAGATTTTCAATATAAAGAGGGTCAAGTACTAATTGACCAAATCGTTCATTAACATCCACAAGTGAATAAAAAACATCAACAATATTCAGTTTATTGATAATGATAAATAATATTTCATT